TGTAACTTTACTAACAAGGTTGCTAAAAACTATTCGACAGCCCACGACCATTTTCGCTATTCTTGATACTCATCAATGAGGCACAGTCCCCGAGTTACCGTCATTATAACATTCTACTTGAATAAGAAATGAAGGCGGTTACCGAGATACGCTCACTTGAACAATAATATTGTCTTAGCGAGAAACTCACCCCAGTTCTAGATGACCCCAACTTTTGTGATATTCTTTAAATGATAAAATTAAAGCTTCCTTGGTAGACTGTTTATTCAAACTGCAAGCTTGTTCGACACATTTTGCTTTGAACCCAGTTCGGTAGCAGGTCTGGGACAAAAATGTCACAATACATCCCCAGAAGTACTGAAATTGTGAAGACTTCTGGCTGTCGTCGCCTTTGAGTTTACAGAACCTCCTCATTTATTTGACAGTCTTGCTCCACGCGTTTGAGGTACTCAGAAAGAAAGCGGAAAAATCCGAGGAGTTATTTTTTTCAAGACTTTTGCGTGATGTGCTCGGAGGGGCACAATTTTATATTTATTAAAAGAAATCTTCTGGCCATAGGTCAGGTGCTCGAAAGCGACTCGAGATAGGCAATGAGTACTACACTGATTTCTTTATTACCGAATTAGGACACGGGGTGAATGCGTCGGTACCGGACAGTCTAGGCAGTAGCATACCACTTACACATCAGTTATGCAAGAAGACATCAACAACGTGCTGTACCGTTATTGATCCCGTCCTTAAAGGATTGTTCCGAGTATCCCTGCACCAAATTTCAACAGTTGGTCAAAGTGACAATTATCCGCAAGCAGAAGGTATCGGAGGTAAACGTCATGCTGGTTGGCCTCGGCACCATGTAAAAAACTATGCCAGGCTATTTCTAAAAAAAGCCTCGCCATAAAGACGGTCCACAGTTGTTGAATATTAATCGACTGAATTGTGGATTCTTTAGAGAGGCAGATTTTTAACCGGTTTCTCTGTGAGACACGGGGTTTTGCGTAGATAATCCGGTTAGCTTGGCAGTTACTTTTTGCATCCATTGTCTTTGACAAACTTATTTCTTGTGTGTTGACATAACTCTGTTTTCTTGAGTCAAAGCAGAAACTACACTAGCAAAATTTTCAGTGAAATTTTGCATGGATAGGAATGATATGAGTAGCTTGTACGTAGTACCATGGACTGAAAGTAAAGGTTTATACACAACATGGCCATATTGCGGGTAGATCGTGCAACCCGTTACTGTTCTAAGTGTTCGTTTATCTGAACTGATATGCGAACGAATTTGCGTGTTCATCTAGAGAGTGTGATGATACACTAATCACTATCATTATCCTGGGACCCCCAAGTCCATATCACTGCCCTGTTTTTTCTGGTCAAAGGTGATCAAGCGAGGAACCCAGCATTCTTCATGGTTTTCGGTTGTACTGGACTGTGCAGACGACAAACTTGAAAGCACTAGTTGGTTAGCAGAGAATAGCATAGCTCAGGAAGAATTTTAGTAGTGAACCATGGTAGACAGATATGGATGTAAAGCGCCTGATATTGCGTTCAAAACGGTTTGTTTGAGTTGGCTCTTTCAATACTACCAGGCAAACTTACATTTAGGATGGGGCTTCCACTTCAGTTTATTGTGAATGGCACACAGTAGCGATCAATAGTTCTAAATTTGTGGGAACGGCGAAGTGCATGGAATAAATTGGCCAGCAACTTGTACTAACGTGACAAACTGCTTCCAGACAGTTTATCTGCAACTTGCACAAGCGCCTGATTAAAACCATTACATGGACCATTAGGAGGAAAACGGTCCTTCCAGTGAATGAACGGTGTCGCCTGACAGTGAAATTAAATGGAACGTACCACACCTATATACTGAGACAACTGTGGCTTGCTCTGGCTTCTCGAGTTTGTGTAATTGGAAAGTGTTCCTATATCGTTTGAAAGTACCAGACCCCGCCCACATGACTGCTAGCTCCTCAAGCCAATCGCTCGTAACGTAAACAGTTTCAGACTTTCACACGCACGCTTTCCTTTATCTTTATTCATCTCGTAACGTTCACTCTTATAAGTATGAGCCTTTGATTTGCACCGGCCAGTAGAAAAGTCTAGAAAACAAGATTGTCCGCAATCCTATATTTTGAATTCAACGATGAATCCCATTCATGTTATATGCAATGGTGTAATTTTTAAGACACGGTAGTCCGCTATGTGAGGGGAACATCACCCCACAGTTTCCACCGGGAAGGTGGGGACCGCCTCTCTTAGGATTATAACAAACATTGGACGACATGCAACAAAACGGTTGGGGGGAGTGACATGCTTTGAAGGGGTAACATCCTTTGTGATAGTTTCATCTGTTCAAGTCTGACTCACTGCTGCTCCTAAAAAACAGTGTCCACCGAACCGAAGTTAACCCTCCTCTGTTTCTGCTTCTGCGGGACCAGTTGCATGCGATATTCAGAACCCGAAATAGAGGGTCATGGAGGTGATCTAGAAGGCAATCTAATTTTCCCACTTAAATCCTACGCACAACCACCGAGCTTATTCTTCCAACCCTGGTTGCTGGACATAGAAGTTATCTAGTTAATTTTATCGGCTAATACTTGACAGTTCTACGCAGTTTGTTTGTTCTTGTTTGAAGATGAAAAATTTTCCGAGGACTGCGGAAAGAATGGAAACATCTATCAGGCTTGTACATGTTGGCGTGTTGGTGTTTGACAAAGTGGTGAGCCCTGTTATCCACAAAGACGACATCCCTCAGGGATGCTGTGAATTAGGTACAGGAATCTCCAAATCAGTACTTCGATGGATTACGATTGGTCCGCATGCAATAACCACTGCAACCAGCATTTGAATTCTTGAATGAATTTACCGTACGCACGAATGAACAGAAGCAGATTTTGCGTAAAACGACTTGGAATTCTGTTGTACGTTTCTTGACGCACTTATTATAGCTTTTGGCAAAGAGTATTTCTATAAATGGTAGCAACGAAAATGCGCATTAATAGGTACACAATAAGAGTTCGTCTCAGCCCAAAACCATCATTAGATTTGCTGGTGACCAGACCGCTAGCCATCCGCATTAATTTCCAGAGCCATTGATGATTAGCCTCGTACAGTATGTGGTGCTGTGTGCAAGTCCTGCAGTACGGCACAACAAAAACTAATTACGAAGGCCCTCTGCCTCAGTTTTCGCTTTAAGCATATGTTTTGTGTCCATCTGGAAGCAAAAATCCGACACGGCTGTTGTTCTGCTACATCTCTTATTGAGGCTTAGGACTTGGAAATCGTTCATTTGATTTGGAGTCTGATTATTTACCAGATTAGTGATTTCTTCACATTCTTGAGCACGAAATATTTCGGGTTTAAAGTTATGTGGGAAGTATCCGTTGATCTCTTTCAATTTGGTCTGGCAGGGGTTGATCCTAAGTCTCCCTAATCGACTTGTTTTGTTTATTGAGGTAGACTGACTTCATCCTGTAATGTCGGTCACTCGTTTCTACGATTATTTTTTCCGTTCACATCCAATTACAGCAAGGTTGATGTTTTGGTGTTCCGATTTCAAATCAGTCCCGAGTACTGTACAATGCCCAAGTGTGATAATTGGTTAATGGTATGAAGATGGGTTTCCACCCTTTTCAGTTTAACTAGCACCCACATATTTAGTACCCTGGCTTAGGATTTGGTTTTTCATCCCTGACAATTAATAAACAGATGAGCCAGGTCCGCACTTTGTATATAAATAATTGTTTTCATCGCAAGCCTGATCGACTGGCCCACTGGATAGAACAAGCCGTCAAATATACCCTGTTCCTTACGAATCTTAATATGACATGCTTTATGAACGAACCTGGGTTTATTTGAGGCATCAGATCGTATGAAAAACAAAATTGCGATGAATTACAGCACTTTAACCCTATAATCTAGATCAGCATACCATTAAACTGGTCACCAGGGTGCAGTTGAGACATTTTTGCGGTAAGATACAGGCATCACCAAAGTGCCTTGGCTACACACCGTTTGGCCGCTGGATTGTAATAGCTGGATAGTGGACTACTTGAAATCAACCTTCTGAAATCTTTTAATACGGAAGTTCACCAGCTCTAAGAACAGTATTGCTCAAATAAACTAGAGCAACCAAATCTCACCTTACATCTGTGGAGTCAATGCTTTTAAAAAGGATAAGCATATATATATATATGTATATATTCTTCATCACAACCCAAATGGATTAAGTGCGCTTCACGGTAAACAATTCTCTGAACGCACCAATCTTGGTCAAGTCAACTGCGTCTCTTTTAATGATCCTTTTAAACTGTGTCCACTTGTATGGTGCAATACGACGCTAAGAGTGATATTATTCTCCTTCCGTACCATGTCACACTGTACAGAGTACTAAACTGTAGTTAGTAATCCCTACATCGAGATCAGCTTTATGTAGACTTGTTCAAAATACCCATTTTGCTTCCAAGAACTTCCGTCGTAACCCACTCTGCCATGGTTCTGCCTCATACTCCTGATTTTTCCCTTGAATTGATTTTTACACAAAAAGAATTCTTGACTAGCGTATTAAGGATCCATTCAATTCAAGTATACTCCGTATTCAAACTTCCATTATATTATGGTAGAAACCAATTCTCCCACATTCGTATATACCCTCAGGGTCGGCTGATGTCACACAGATGTTGATGACGTAATAATTTCATGGGTTCTTCTGACTGCCTAAATATCTGTGTTAGACTTTCAGTTTAATTACTTTAATTCATAATCCTAAACTTACCAATCTGTTCTGCTGTTTGGAGTCATCTCCCAATTATGGGACTGAATTCTGTCGGCAATTTGAAAGGCTGGTGTGGGTAGCTTGTAAAATCCAAATATATGGGACTTTTGTAAAGGTTGCTTTTTGAGAAAACAAAATTCGGGAAAACTTCAACTCTATTTCAACTATCATTCGCAAATTGAGGCTGTGTGATGCACAAGACTTTTGTATTACCTGTCTTCCACAGAAACAATATTATTCACTGTGATCTGAAACCGGAAAATGTGCTTTTAAGGAGCGCTGCTCGTTGTGCCATCAAGGTGATTGATTTCGGTTCCAGCTGTTATGCGAATCAACGAGTGTACACCTATATCCAGTCACGGTTCTACCGAGCGCCGGAAATCATATTGGGAATGGAATATGGGCCACCAATTGACATGTGGAGTCTTGGGTGTATTGTTGCTGAAATGATTACTGGTGAGTAATTCGTACCTATATTTTGTGGCTTGTTGCATTCAACATATTACTTGTCTAGGAGAGCATAGTATCTGGAGAGATGTTACCGTCGAAATAACAATGCGTGAATCTCCTATGGAGCCAGACACACAAGACGATTATGGATATGGCCGGTTTAACCTGCTTTGCCAACAGGGATCACCACAAGTATACTGCTGTGGTCGTCGCATTATAGTCTACAGTCAATGGCCTCATGGCAGAAAAAACTGTAGCTGGTTAAACACGCACTAGCGATTGATTTTGACTTTTGATTCAACTCCGTTTGATGAGTGATTTATGTGGCAAAATGTAAATTACGTGGCATAATTCCGTCAATGTGCTGGGGCTTGGAATACTTACCAACGTGTAAGACTTTAAATGGCTAGTGAATTTGTTTTACTGCTTAGTACCCTGTAATATCGCCAGATTAAAACAAAGCATCGCACATAGATTGAAGCTTTCATAGCTTTCATACCAAATAACTGGAATATTGTTAAATATGGACAAGCTTTGGTTCTTTCAAGTGATTTATTGGCAAAATGTAAATTACGTGGCATAATTCCGCCAATGTGCTGGGGCTTGGAATACTTACCAACGTGTAAGACTTTAAATGGCTAGTGAATTTGTTTTACTGCTTAGTACCCTGTAATATCGCCAGATTAAAACAAAGCATCGCACATAGATTGAAGCTTTCATAGCTTTCATACCAAATAACTGGAATATTGTTAAATATGGACAAGCTTTGGTTCTTTCAGTCCTTCAAATGAGAAGATAGGTTATATCTATTCCCCCGATCTTATGTCGAATGAAATCTTTAAAAGAGTACCGAGATAACGTTCTTCATACAATAACTTATCGCTGAAGAGCTACAGAACTACAGCGACACATTCGTCTGCAGTGGTTTTCTAAATAAGTATTGAGAGTTCCGAAAGATTTCCTCAATGTTCAGTGAGGGCTTTTTTCTTGCCGGCTTATGTTGTGATTAATAAGTCCTGAAAGAGGATTTGGCGTGTTTATTTATGCCGGAAAAGTGAGCAACTGAAGTCCAATCAAGTCACCATACGTTATTGAGTCAAAGGTTTTAGTCACACGAGCATCATCGCTTGCTAACACAGCAGAGCTGCATATAATGATAAGGATTCTCACTGATAACCGATCGCGAATAGCCAGTATGTTTAGTTCCTTTTGAAGATCAGTCCCTGTTTATGTTAAACTCACTCGGCTTTGTGCATACCTATTGAGAATCCAATCGTAGGATAGAGCGAAACGTCGCCAAAGTCGGTTAACCAAGAAAGCAGTAAACACCGGAATTTTCGTCGCACAACTTCAGAAAATCTGCTCCAAATGGTTTCGAAATTGCTTTCATTTTTTTAATCCACCATGCTGTAAAGCACATCGGGTGAATGCTGACTCATTTAGTGTCTCTAGCAGGTCACTAATGTGTGCGTACTGCCGGAAGCTAGTATGTGCTATCTTGTTTTGCCCGGCAAGTGACTTAGGTGAAACTTTCTTAACAGCAAACGTTACCAGGGCTTGTAAAAAGCTGTTGCTTTAGAGCAACACAAGGTGATGTGGGGCTCGTTCGTCGCGTAATTTGTGTTGCGTGTTGTGGAGTTTACTTTTGTTTGTAAGTTTAAATGTGGAAAGAGTAACTTAAGGTGGGTAGAAACATTTTTCGCAGAACTGATTCTATAAATATGCCGTGTTTGATCTGTTTGTCTGGACAAATCACGGTGGTTGTGGAAGGCGGTTGCTCACACTAGATGTGTTTGTTGCAACCTTGTTTGACAACAATTGATCTCTTCATTTGTAAGAAGCTCTTAAACGGAAGTAGCTTTTTGACCAAATATGGAGAATTCTTCCCGGGGGTCGCAAATGAATATTTATAACTTTTCTTATAAGTCTCATATACGCATAAGCAAGAAACAGCTTGAAAATTGTGCTGGTTTGACCTACCAAAAAAGGTAGGTGCATTGGCTAATTATTTTATTGTTCGGTTCCCGCAGTTTGCGGTTCATGTGTCATGTGAAAATGCTGCTTGGTAAGGCAACGCAGATAATTTCCTGTTCAGCTATTGAAAAACCGGGTCGCCTCACTCAATTGCCACATGAGTTTAGCTCATCTCGTTTGATCAGTTCGCCTCCCATGGATGAGCTGCATTGATCCGCTGATTCGGTTCGAGTCCCTAAGTACATCTTTGAAGCTTAAACATACAGTTTGAAAAAGGTATACAAAATGCTGAGATTTCATGACTGGCTTTTGAGCTATTCTGATTAACTGAAGTATGGGAGCTATTGGTCATGAACAGTTAATATTCAAACTCCCCTCATAGTCTGCTCATACATCATTTGAATGACGTCTCTCTATCTGCCCGTCTGTCTACCTGCCCATTTGTCAGTCTATTCATCATCTGTCCCTCCAGCTGTCTGTCTGCCTGTGCGCAAGAGGTCAGACTACTGAATGGATGAATTATAACTTAAAACCTGACAAACGTAACGGGCCAGAAGACCAAATACCCATATGACTGACGCAACTAATGAAAGCGGATGAATCGAAGCAAATTGGACCAAGCAGACACCGCAGTTATATGGTCCAATGTAATAACGTTCCATACGAAGTTTGACGGCATTAGACATCCGCAGATGCGCTAGGCTAAAACGTGGTATGTTGTAAATTTATCCAAAGGAGCCAGGAGTGTGTCACATAAAAACCTGTAGTGAATGCAGGGATATTTCTTTAACTTGCTAGCGAAATTTCAAAGTGACCTTCAAAGCTAATTTCAGGCGGCTTATTGACTATTTTTTTGCCTTTACCAATATTGAACATTTACGGATTCCAGAATGAGGAGGTAATAACGCAGCCTAGTGAACTTGGATGCCGGCCGCCAGGAAAAAATTTTTAACAAACAAGTAAATTTTGTTAAGCCTAGAGGATACTGGTAAATATTCGTAACAAAACTGGACCATAATATTCATGAATCCGGTCGGAATTTGTCCGAGTAAATGAGGTACCCACCAAAAATATTGCGGTTAAGAGGTTTTTATCGACCTTTTAAGACTTTTGAGCTCCTGAATTTCATTGAATTTGGTCACTCCCACTCACCTACGTGCGCTATGGTTGACAATCCAAGTAAAGACAAACTTGTAAACATGAATTTCAAGTCTAAAATTGAAAGCAGCAAGTACCCTTGTTCAGAAAAGACATAAAGCTTCCACCTGAACGGTTCAGAAAATAGAAAATTTTGAACACGCCTACCAGTTCTCCGACTGAATAGTTATCTGCATCTACCGACTGACATCCTTCTTATAGGTATATGCTGTTCGTTTCTAGCCGATGCTAGTTTAATCTCACTTAGCTCCACCAGCCGAATGAAGCCATAAACTGGGCGACTATCAATGAGGGTCATTCAGATTACACGATATTCAAATGCGTCTTTGCCCGTGCATTTCTGTGACTTACTTAGTGCTCGCAAAGGTGTTTGTGGTCTTTATCTGCTCAAGCAGCTGAATCAGGGCAAGATGCGGGTATATGACGGTTCATTGGCGGTTGATTGGTAAGTACAAGCTGAATGCGCCTGATTGTGCGCGAAACGGTACAAACCTTGTGAGTCCGTTTAGTTATGGATGCAAAAATGGTGCTAATTGTATTGTGCAAGGAAGCCATTATTAGAAGCAGAAGTTAACCGCTAGCTATAGAACGTCACACTATGTGGCATGGGTGACCCGGTGGGAGTGGATACAACTCAGTTTAATCCGAATGCGTAAAGACTCTTCGTAGATAACTGACTATATAATACCATCTTCCAGCTAGTATAAAGAGTAGACTGCTTGCAAGTTAACCATTATTTCACTGTTATCTAGCGTGTAAAAGCTTCTCTGAATTTACAGGATTTTAGTTCAGAGAAGCGATTTTGATAATTTTAGGGAACGTGTGGCCGTATCAATAGAGTAGAGGATAGCATTTATTTGATTTTTGTGTTTATACGTTGGGGCCTGCGTCACTCAGGACTGTGTCAAACGATCAGGTTAAAGATGATCATGGTAAGCACTCATTTGGAACAAATTTTCTGATTTTCTTTCTTAGAGACTAAATTCTGACTTCATTTTCCCCAGCTATCATCGAAATTTACATTAGCTGTTTTACCCCCTCTTATGAGCGTTATTAAACAGTTTGGTTTATGCCGATGAAATATTCACCGTCGGGGCAACATGCATTTTGTCTTTTCTGATAAGTTATCTATTCGCCTGCCAAGTGCGAATTCCACAATACATGAGTGCTGTAACAGATGCTGTTAATCGGAAGTTGGTAAGCAAGAAGATATCGTGCATTTTTTAATCAGCCCTGCTGAAGGTGTGACGAGTTTCACTGAATGCTGCTCTGAGTGCGCTATCAGCTGGAATACTGCCTGAGCTGAACACAAGTGCACACTTTGACGACATTCAAAGGAAAGCTTTGCGTTATTCATATCTTTTTAAACTTATGGCGACTGGAGTTTTCCTCAGCAAGACTGTTTCTGAGAGTGGTCTCATCCTCGAGACATGAACCCAACTTTAATAACACAACAGTGTTCAATTTTTCACCGTAGAGCACTACTTATAAGCCTGCTTGAATTCTTCTACATCTCCTAGACGAGTTTACGCTTTCTGCTGGTTGTACAACAGGCGTAGTTTTGAGCTTGCGTCAATCTTACTCCCTAAGTCAGCAGATTTTAATTGGATGCAGCTGTATGCTAGTTTGAAAATCAGGGTGCTGATATTCATCTTCCGAATGTACAGCTAACCTCATGTTTTGTAGGGACGATATCCGAAGTACGGGAACTAGAATTATCTGGCATCTAGGGTGGCGTCATGTCTGTGTCACGTTAGAAGTGTCAATACAGTCATTAATTTGAAGGTCTGGTTATATGCGATGAGTGTGCAGAAGAGGTGTAATAGGAAGTTCGTCAAAAGGGAAAACATTGTCTTGTAGTTCAGGACTAAGTT